AATCAAATCTAAATCATTTAATGTGAACTTATGTTATAAGACCTAGCATGTTGCTATAATCTTCCAAATCTAAGTTTTGGTAGATTCATAAATTTATCAGATAATTTCCTCTTTGACTAGCAATAACAGTTTAACAGAAGAAGAAGGGGATTGCTTCTAAAGAGAAAAAAAAATGAGCAAGAAGAAAGGTGGGGAGATTTAAAGGCAAACTTTAAAAGCTTCATATTTCAGCCTGGGTTGGACCTATTTATCTTGATTTGTACATTGACAAATAATAGTCTCTGAACAAAAATTCATGGACTCCTGACTCCATTTCAAACAGAGTTACTGAATTGGGCCTGAGGTTGTTAAGTCTGGACTGAGTGTTAAGTCAAGCATGCTCAATTTTGGCCTCCTCCTTGAGTTAAACCTAGAAAATAAGAATATAACAAATATTATTTTTGATTACCACTTGAAGATTGAGCTATCATAAGATTCAATTTTATTGAGTTATTGAGTAAAATAAATGACTATATAAGACACAAAAGCAAACATTATTACCCTGAAATATTTTATTTTAAAATTTTGAAAACATAAGGCTATATGAAAGTATGTATATAGGCATCTATGCCTTATTAATTAAATACACTCAGGGAAAATATTAATACTATCAAGTAACAACCTAAACATGAAAATTAATTAAGACGTATGCAACATACCTTGAAAATAATATAAATAATGCACTAACTCAATATTTCCCCAAATTCTTCAGGGAAAATAATCTCTAGTTTGAAGTCCTGTGAGTCACTGTTAAAAGACAGATTCCTGGGCTGGGACTGTGGCTCAGCGGTAGAGCGCTCCCCTAGCATGGGTGGGACATGGGTTCGATCCTCAACACCACATAAAAATAAAGGCATTGTGTGGTGTCCATCTACACCTAAAAGACAGATTCCTTCCTGTGCTTGCCAATTTGGAATCCCCAGATTATGAGCCTGAGAAGAGGTATTTTACAAGCATTATGGTGACTCGTGTCCTATGGGTAATTTCAAAACAATTGCTTGACATTTTTTATAGCCAGTTGGATTTTATACTGAGATACATATTCCTGGGCCCAATGACAGTATAAATCAATATTTTCAAGTGGGCCTTTAGAATTGACAATTTGAGCAATCTCATTGAGAAGATTTTCTGCAACATAAAGTTTGACACCATCATCCTCCTTAACAGTGTGTTAAGGGCAAAGTTGAGCTTCTTTTATGAAATACTAAGGGATTCATTATAAGAATGTTGAATGAATGCAAGTTATGCTTAGTAAAATAATGATCTGCTTTTATTTTAAGCTAGCTATGTGATTACTCCCTTAAACATTCAATCAAGTAATTTCTTCATAAATAATGTAAGAGGAAAATCCAAATTCATTTGTATTATTTTTGACTTGCAAATTATGAAAGATAATAAATTGTATTTATTGTCCAAATCTTAATATATTTTATTTTTACATATATCTTCAAAAGTTAGTTAAATATACTCACAAAATATTCAGGCATAGAAAAGTGTATTTACAAATATTTCCTAAGCTTTATCATTTGATTTTCATCTAAAACTGAGACATTATTTCCAGTTCATTAGCAAGATTTTGCAAAAGAAAGGTTTTTTAAGTTTTCTTATGCTTTAGAATTCTTTATTTTGTATTCATATTTTCTTGCTCTGATCTTCTAACATTTTAGCTTTTCCTGTATTTCAATACTGTCTTTTTTTTCACCCATTTTCTTCTTTTATGTTCATGGTTTAGCATTTTTCTCAGACTTATTTCTGATTTTTATTTTTCAAGATTGGCTTGATTTATATTTATTTAATATTTAATACTATTTGTTTCTCTCTTTATCATTGAAAAAAAACAGAAAATTCCTTAATCTGATGTTTAAAACTAAGGGATATTTACTGAAATAAGAAAACTTGGAACATTTTAACAATTGCATTTTTATCCATTTCACCTAATCAAGCTTACTTGCTGGTTGTTTGCAACTACACATTTCTACTTCTTTTAATAATGAAAAAATCTGTCAAATTTTTCATATAGCTAATTAGCACCAGTGGAAGAAAATCCATCCAGCCTTGTCTCTTTGAGCTTGTCTTAATAGACTTCAGTATCATAAAACATGCTGGAAAAAAGTAATATTTTACCTATATTATTCTGATATAATTTTTGGTATGTCCTATAAATTGTGTTTATCATTTTTACCATTGAAAAATGGTAAAAATAAAAATAAATGAAACTATGTTTATAGCTGTGTGTTTAATACATGTTTTTCTCATACTTTGAATATCTTTCACATATATAAAAAGTTCACTGAGTAACATGGAATATGTAAAAATGAGTAAGGTTTGATCAACCTGAGGGTGCTTATAGACTAGAGGGAGAAATAAGATATAAAGTATGTGAAACAAAGTAGAAAATTATGGAAATCTTAAAAAAATGATCTAGAAATTTCCTAAGGGAGACAAGAAAAGGTAATCGTTTGAAGCATTAGCGAAGCTTCATCCAGAAATATGGCATTTGGGCAGAGATTTAAAGGATGGGTGAGGTTTGGGGTAAGGTGATGAAGACCAACAGAGGCTTTCTAGGCAAAGGGAAGAAAGTGAGAAATGGTATGGTGAAATGTGGAGGTGGGGATAATTCAATGTGACCAGAGTATGTGATAGTTTGGGGGAAGAATCAATGTATGTAGTTTAGTTAGAAATGTGGAGACACCAATGATACCTAATCAATAGGTAGGGAATGACATATTCAGTGTTCAGTGACAATTCTTATGGAGTTCTTTGTCTGCAGCACATGCTTAGATAAATACTTGGCTCTATGATATAATCCTCAAAATAATAGTATCAAATAAGTATTTGTTACATTACCATTTCACAGATAAAGAAAAGGATTAGAGAAGGGAAATGACTGACAAATGTTGAATCTTAAATAAATAGCCTTCCTGAGTGAATGTATTTTGAGAGGTTAGCATGAACCCAGAAAGTGAGATAGCATAGAGGAAACTGTAAATAAAAGATGGAAACACTGTTGAACATGATAGTATGATGGTATCTTAATGTCCTAAGAAATAGTAATAAGGTCCTGCCTATGGTAATGAAAAGTTGATCTGGGAAACACAGATTTTTTGATTTATTATATTTTCCCTAAGAAAGCACCAAATATGTAGGCGCACTCCCCAATCTAAGGTCCTCTTTTAACATCTTTCACAGAATTATTGAGATTTCTTTTGCAGCCCTTGTCAAGAATTGCTATTACACATTTGTGTGAGTATACTTCATATCTATTTCCCCCTCTGGGTGGTAAGGTTCAGGTTAGACGGGTCATGCTTAAGAAACCCAATACTGTGTCCATCAACAGTTAATATTTAAGAGTGGATGAAGAATAACGAGAAAGAATGGATGACAGATAAATAAATGTAGAATAAAAAATGACTTCAAGAACTTTGAGTTAAAATATGAGTGGATAGTATTAGAATAGAGGAAGGGAAGGGAGTGTATATATATATTTACATATACTTCAAGATATAGAACTCTGAGAACGAACATTCATTAAAACAAAAAGTATCTAAAAGCAAAAAAAGAAGTCATTAAAAGAAAAAATAATGCATGGTCTTATTATTTTAAGGCTATATTCCATAGCATTTACCAATAAGCTCAACTAGTTCCATTCTTTTTATTTTTAACTCCATCCTTTTTTTAACCTTTAGTTTGATCTTTTTGAAAATGTTGAATATTTCATAGAAATACATTAAACTAATGGGTCATTTTTCCATTGTCTATATAATTGATAAAATTTTAAAAAGATGGGCCATCATTACATGTAGTATAATTATGGTCTCAAACAATCACTGACTGTGTAGTCTATCACTCTTTTAGTTATTTGGTCATTTATTTGTTCTTTCTTCAAAATTAAACTAGTTTTTAGGACTAAAGGAATAAATAGTTAGGTTCACAAATTTTTGAAGCAAACACTTATCCACTGTGACTAAAGCAAAATAAATTGTCTAAACCTCTGGATCTTTATTCACCTTAACAAATGATAGAGGTAACCAAAAGTTAGTCTTAGTTTGAAATGACTTTCTCATTTTCATTAGAACAAAGTAAGTCCTCTTTTAAAATCCACTTTAAAAATAGGAAAAGCATTCTGAATCAGTAAGCAGACCAATAAGCCAGCAAAAAGCCCTGGGATGTGAGAGTTCTGGATTTTGCTGCATGTATTCACATAGGAATAATAGTACTGGAGAGACTGATAAAAAAATTTGTATGACTAATTCTAGCTAATTACTATCAGTGTGTTCTTAACCTGTCTACAAACAAGAAATTCATATAGTACAAAATCAAGTCTAGAAATCAGAGAAATGTTTGTGTTTAGAGAACATTTCTTCATGGAATTGGTAGTTTAAGGGTATTTAGTCTTAGTTGTTCTTTTCTTGGATCTAGATTTGAAAGCAATGCCTTATAAAATGTACATTGCTCTTTAGTTTTTAGAGTAAAAACTCAAGTTTTCAACTCAATAATTATGTTTTAAAAATTATGTGAGAGGTAGCACAGTTAAATAAAATACTAAATTGTAGTTCAGACAAAAGTTCCCTCCTATCCCTTACTGGCATATATAGGACTTGTCTACATCCAACAATTCTGAAAATTTTTCCTCAAGGAAAAGAAATATAATAATCTGAAATTCAAGAAATGTCTCACACAAAATGAAAAATGATGTCAGCGCTGTGCAGTTGGAGAATTGCCTTTTAGCAATGCATAATGTGCTCAGAACTTCACTGCTTTGTAATTTGCTAACCTTCAATAAAAATAATAACCATAGTAATTATAAGACCTGAGATATGAATACCACAAAACAGTCTCCATCAAAACCCAAAAACCAACAAAGCTCAAATTGTTTCACTGATACACACATTTACAAAAGAGGCATCCCAAAACTTCCTATTTATTTTTCTAAAATCATGTTAATTTCTTATTTATTTCAGGCATTACTAGAGACTCAAAATTTACTGCGCACTCAGGTTGCAAATTTTACCTTCAACCTTGGATTTTCAGGGAAGTTTTACCATACAGGTAAGAAGGAGCTTTGTGTTCTCAGGCAGCTACATATAAATAGGACATAGGATTATAAATGTTCCATAATAAGTAGGAGAAACAGAATGTCCAGATTGATTATGGGAAAAACTTGGGTGCATTATATGAGAAGCCAAATCCAAAATCAATGAGCTCGTTTACTTTGGTAAATACTATTAAAATCAAGGACAAAAGAGAAAGAGAATTGACTTTTTCAACTCAGTACAAGAAACCATAATTGTTGTTTTAAATATGACTGTGCATCTTGTTTGTCAGCACAGCCCAAGTGAGAGCATACCTCAGTAATGATGATGATGATGATACTAATACTAATAATAGTGGGCAGTATTTTAAAAATTTTGAGTGGTCAAGGTATTGGAGACTTTTGTACATATTATTTACCTTTGAAAAACATCTGGTGATGGGAGAGGAATTTTATAGCCTCAAAGAAATTTATTGATCTTCCTTTGTAGGATTTTTACCTGAAAATACTAAGATGAATTTGGCCAAATATCCATTAAAACCTTCACAATCAAGCTTGCATTTTTTCATAACTATAATTTCTGTTCAATCTAAGCCTCTCAACAGGTTCACAAAATGAGACTTGTGTTCATTACTACTTACTCTGTGTTCTGTTATTTCTCACCTATTTTTACTCTCACCTTCAAATTTTGACTTTCCTTTTCTGAATATTAGGATTGTACTAACTGTAGAGAAAACAATGTGGATAAAATTGTCTTGCAGTGAAGACAAAAATACTACTAAATAGTGCTGGTATTTGTATTAAAAGAATACCACCATCTACACCTATTTGTGCTTTTATGCAGTGAGTTAAATGCTTTGTTTAGGACTTTGCATTGTTGTTTTATTAGCATCTTAGTGGAAACAATTCACAGTGTTCTCTGTGCATGTATGCAGTTTATTGATTCATTGCAAATATCCCATGCAAGGGTAGTGTTTAATTATCATAAATTGAGCTTGTTTACCCAAAGAGACTGTTTAATATAGAAGCCCAGCATGGTTTATTAGAATATTGAAGTCACAATGTCTTATTGGCTTTTCCTTGATGCTTTTTCTCCTGCTTTGTAACATGTAAATCTGCTTAAAGTAATAGAAGGAAAATTAGTATTTAGACCAGTTGATAAATCAGATGATTGCATATTTTAAAAGGACATTTTGTAGAATAGATTTGGGTCATCATATCTGCACAGGCAAAGCAATTTCAGCTTACAATTTTGAAAATAGATATGATTTTATAAATCTTCTTCAAAAGCACCCTCAAGAAATGATTTCAGGCCTAAGAAGCTCTGACTATGAAATTATAAAGCAGATAACTGTGCAGGCTGCATCTACTCATGCAGGAGAAAAATTATGGGATTATTTGGAACTCACATATCAACAATACTATTTTGTCTTAAATAGTTATATAGTGTGAGGAAAATATTCTTTTGGCTGAAATATACCTGGATAATCACCTCCATTTTTATTTACTTTTCCCACTCAGATCTCCTAAACCTGCCAGACATTTGCAGAATTAATGTTGATAGAGGTTATGACACGTTCCATTTCTTATTTACAATCCTGAACATGTATACGGTACACATCAAATGAGCAGCATACCAATCAATATTACAGGGATAATTGTTGAAGGAAGACCAAAAAAATAAAAGCAACATTTTAATTTTATTTCTTTCTCTCTCTTTTTTTTTTTTTTTTTTTTTTTTGAACTGTGGTTGTAGAGATTGAACCCAGGGCACTCTACACTGAGCTACATCTTCATGCCCTTTCCATTTTTGAGGCAGATTCTCAAGGCTAGCCTTGAACTAGCAAGTTTCCTGCCTCTGCCTCCCTGAGTAGCTGGTATTACACATGTGTGCTACTGAGCTTGGCTTTCATTATATCTCTCAAGGAAACCTTATTGACTCTTTGTATTGAAATTATCCTAAAAAAATAATGGAAGAAACACTGTGCTGCCATGCTGTGGTGATAGTGCACTTTAGAGAATAAACACCATATATAAAATGGCAAGTCCTGGAAGTTTAATAACCTTCATATAATTATGTAACTTTTATTTAACTATTATGCTGTTTTATCCACAGGAACATTGAAAACCATCCATAACATTTTTCAAGGGTGCAATGATGTCATGTTAAATACTTATTAACACACATGGGCATATCAAGGTTTCTTTCAGGGCTGAATTACACATTAGTGATACCCAGAAAGAAAGGCAATGCCTCACCCTCCTATAGTCACATTCCTATATAGAGACTTAACATTATAGAAAAAGAGATTACAAATCAAGCCAGTGCTGTGTTTTTGTGTATGCTTGGCTGTGATGCGTAACCATGCAGAGATGGCCTTGTTGCAATGAGGGCTTAGTTCTTCCTCCAGATGATCTGGCTTCCCAGTGCATAAAGATGCTGATTGATGAGCCTCATTGTTTTGAAGACATTTAATCACATATGTCCAGTGTAATAATGATTGATTCTGCATATTTCAGACTGATTCACTTATTTGTATTTCTCATGTATTTTTTTCCTGTTCAGTTTCTCTGTCCTTCACATGCTAAAAACAATCTCCACCCAAAAGGGCATATTCCTAAGCTTTTCATAAAAGTCATTCATCCGCAGGTGCTAAATTGAAAGAGGAAGGACATGGTGTTGATTAAAAGGAAAAAAAAAATAAAAGTATGGGGTCGAGAGTGAAATATTTTAGTCGGGAAATATTTAGAACTTGATTGAAATTGCAAAATGAAAACTCAGTGGAAAAATGAAGACATTACAGCATTAAGAAGATGACTTTTAGGCATAGAGGAGCTACAAATTTTATTTTTCATAGAACACAATCATTGCTGTTCTTTGTAATTCATAATAAATTGAAAATGATTCAATAATTAATTCATGAATAATGTTTGCAAATCGGATTAATGTTGGTCTTTTCCATGACAGTCAGTTTCTACAAAAAAACACCAATTTATGTAAAGTTATTAACTTTCAAACATGAAAATAAGAAAAACACTACATTCTTTCTCCTTTAGTTATTTTTTGTTTTTTTACCTTTTCTTATGAAGGGTGGTTTAAAAGACTAGATATTAGAAACAGACTGCTTGTGTTAAAATCCAAGTACTGACATTTTACTAGCTATTTGAACAAAACCATGCTTCTGAACATTTATATTCCTCAGTTTCAACATCTCCACAATGGGGAAATAATATCTCTTTTATCTGGAATAATGTCTAGTTTGTTGTTAGTATTCTGTTTATTATTGAGGTTTTAAGAGTATTTTGTATAAGAATCAAATATTATCAAAAATAAACATTAGATAATTTGCACTGCTCTTTTTTCTAATTTTGGAACTTCAGGTAGCTTTTAATCAGTTTTTCATCATATCGCTCATCTTACTTAGTATAATACTTAAAATTAGTTTATTCTACATTAACCTGTATGTAACCATAAAGATTCAAGATACAAAGTAAATTAGGAAATATCTTCTTACTATTTAAGAATAATACTAAACAAATATTTGTACAAACAAAAGAGATAATACTGACACTGGAATTTTATGTTATTTTATTTTAAAGTTACAATTGTGCTTTTAAGGAGGTTGACTTACACTCCAGATCTTGCTAAAGTTTGTCTTATTTTGGTAGACCTAAAAGAACTCTTCTTAGAAGCATATTATCTCATAACACAGATCCTCTAAAAATGATAGCAAAGAAATTAACTCTTTATATATCATACTTCTGAATCAAAGTACTTCTTAAACTCTGGGAATCAGAAAAAGTAAAATAACATAATTTTTAAGTAAGAATAAAATTCACTTTTTTACTAATGATGATCTAGATTTGAATCTAGATCAAGTTAGAAGTAAAAAGGCTCAATTTGACCACAGATATTTAAATGAACTGTAACTTGTGTTACTATGGGAATATATGGAACACAAATTACATTTTCACACATAATTCAAGTACACATTAAGTACTGAAGATGTGTGTGTAGGATAAGTCGAAAATATAATATTTTCATTTAGCTGAGTTTGAAAACATTTGGAATTCTGCTGTTCCTTTAGCATGACTTGTATCATATTTTTCATTAAACAGTTTTCACTGTCAAGGGTCTGCCTCATGTGGTTTTGAGTTGTTTGACCAGCATAAAATAAGAGAAACGCTGACAGAAAGTAATCCATGATGTTGAAAGAATTTAAAAAGGAGGCTTTAAATGTCATTCTCAACCTTATGGAGAGTGTTTATAAATTAGCATAATCTCTGATATGAAAATTACTAAGATTTTACAATCAGTCAAGCATCTGTTTATATCAACAGTCTGCAAAATTTTCCTTAAATTGAGTAATTGACCTTCTTCCTGGTTAAGTATGCATTATGTGCTTCCTGCCACTTACAATAATGAACAACGGAGTTTAAAGTGAATAGAAGCATTTCTCAAACATTCTGTATTCAAAGCACAGCGGACTAATTCCAGAGAGTTGAGAGAACCATCAATTCCTTCATCATATGTGACATGAAGTAACTCATTCTAATCTATGATTGAGTCTGCCAAATTATGGCCTTGAGAAACATCTGTAGCATAACGATGCTACAGATGAAGAGATAAACTATTCCTCATTTGGATTTCAATATTCAATATTCTTTTACTATATTAATGAAAGTCAATAAATTGTGAATCTGTATTACTAATGATTTTTAGATAACTTTAACAAAAATTAGGAATGTTATCTGCTCATTTTATTCATAGGACTTACCCACTTTTTAAACTTCAATTTCTTGATTCTTTGGAGTGACATTTGTGTTGCCAAAATCCTATTTAAATCAGGCGATTCTTCCAATTTTAAAGGACTGTGGATTAAGGATTATATTCCAGGAACAATGAGTGTATTTAAAAAGACATACAAGTTGGTTTATACTTTATTGGCCTTAAGAAATTTTGAATGTTCATTGATTATAGTAACATAGATGGAATTAAACTATTCATTTATTCACTTTAAAATAAATAGAATTTTAAAGAATGGTACAATTTTTTTTTTCATTGGTTAGTTCTAGAAGATGGATTTCTATGATTTGGGAGTTTTATTTTTGATTTTTTTTGGATTTTTATCTTTCTTCACTATGCTTTTTGTATTTCTAAAATAAATGAGCATGATTTTTGTAGTCAGAAAAAGAATTAACAATTCAAAAGTTAAATTACAAACTCAATTTTTCACATATATATGTGCATATATATGTAGGAAAAATTTTAAGAGAAAAGGAATTATCTTTCATCATGAGTTCTTTGTACAATGAGAAATAAGTTGATAATTTTGAAACAAAAAAAAACCAAATGATTTAAAAGTAGATCTACTCTTTTATTACATCATGCTAGCAATTCTAAAAATAAAAATATCAGTAATAAAATACTCCTAAATACTAAATTAAGCAACTCTCTGCACCTGAGGCCAGCACCACCTACCTCCATGACTTCCCAAGTCACTTGTCTCTGATGTAATTTTTCCTGATTAGAAAAATCACATAATTGAACCTATGTATCAGTAGCATGAAGGATTAAATAAATTTTACAAAAATAACTTTTAAACTAGTACAAATTTTTCACTAAAGTCGTTTTTAACTTTGTGTTTATAGGAACTGAAGAGGAAGATGAAGGAGATGATCTTCTGCTGAGGTCTGTGGATGAGTTCTGGTGGTTTCCACACATGTGGAGCCACATGCAGCCACACCTCTTCCACAATGAGTCATCTTTAGTTGAGCAAATGATTCTCAATAAGGAATTTGCACTGGTGAGCACATTTTATTGTAGTAGTTTTCAAACTACTCATCTAGTAGTAGATTATTAAATCAGTTTATCATAATAAATTCTATAGAAATACAATAAAACAGAATATCGGAATATAACACAGTTACTAAGGATGCATGTTGTGTTTTGTGGTATTTTATTTCAGGACTGTGTACATGCATGGGGCTGAGAGATATATGTGATATATAGATAGATTTCTATATAGATACATATAGATATAGATCACAATAATGTCTTTCAAAAGGTCATTTTCAGAAAGTTGCTACATCCTGATTTATTAGAAAATTATTAGAGTATCAATGAAAAGACCGAAAAAATACTTTCTCATCCTCCATTTCTCCATTACATTCCAAATGCCATATAATTAGAAAAATCATTTGCTGCAAGAACAAATGGAAGGGTGGATGAATTGAATCATTGAAATAATGACTCTAGATCAGTGGCTCTCAAACTCCAGTGTGTCTCCATTTCACCTAAAAGTCTTTTTGAAACACACACTCTGGCTCTTACTTTGAGAGTGCTGATTCAGGAAATCAGCAGAGTAGCTTGAGAATTTGCATTTTCAAGAAATTGTCAAAATGATGCCCACAAAATCTAGAAGAATCACTTGTCTAGTCCAGAAGCTGGTTAACTAGGGCCCATGGGACAAATGTGAATTATTGTTTGTTTTTTATGATCCCTGAACAAAAAAAAATGTTTTGTTATTTACATTTTAAATGATTGAAAAGCAATCAAAGGAACAATATTTAGTAATATAAGAATTATACTAACTTCAAATTTCAAAGTCCACATATGAATTTTATTTGAACACTGCCACAGTCAGACCTTTATATCGTCTGCAGGTGCTTTTCCACTGTAACAGTAAAGTTGAGCAGTTGCACATTACACCAACTGTCCCAAAAAGCATAAGATATTTCTCTCTGGATCTTTACTAAAATGTGTATGCACCTCTGTTGTAGATGTTAATGAAATTATGTATCCCTTTAAAAATGTAATGGAAGATTGAAATCTTGTTCCCAGAAGAACACTCAGATACACATTTAGACATATAATCACAAAGGTTTGGGATAATCACAGGGCCCAAACACTCTGGATCTGGGTTAGGGAACCCTGTCATGAAAACAAGCAATTCTTTTGTACTGAGTAATTGTTGTTATCTTCGTTTTTTTAAAAAAATATATATATATTTGGAAGCTAAGCCCTCAAATGGATGCAGTAATATTTTATAAAGCTGTGCCTAGATATTAAATTAACTCCCTCTCCTTCCAGCTCTAAATTCCCATGATAGCATCAGATCAGCACAAAGAACCTTTAGAAGTAAGAGTTAATAACATCAAAGGCAGTTATGATCATGAACTCAGTCACCAGAATAACTTGTTCGAATCCTGACCTTCTAGCAATGACTTCTTGATCTTGAATAAATTAGTTAGATTCTCTATGTCTTAGACTTCCCCTGTGTAAAAATGAGAATAGAAACAACCACTATATAGGATTACTGTGAGGGTATGTAAAATATGCTTAAGGTAGTGCCTGACATTCAGCAAGCATTCAATAGGTGCTATGTCCTTTCTAAATACAGACAAGTGTGCAGTTATTTCTTTAAATAGATAAGTATGCAGCTATACCTTCCCTTAAATAGTCAAATATACATATATGTATATATAATGTATAAATATATCATACACTTGTATATTCATTTTATATATGATATACATATGTTTATCTATATATACATTATATATATATATATATATATATATATATATATATGTCTTAATGTGTGTGTGTGTGTGTGTGTGTGTGGTTAGTCATCATTTAACCCTTAGAGAGAGTCTAATAGATTTAGTACTGCTTCATAACATTGTAAAATTAAGTAAATTTCCCCTTTTCAAAAATAAACATACCTTGAGTAAGCTAGCTAAATTTTCTCATTTGTGGTTATTTTGAAAATAAAATGTGTTTTTCACTTGGTTTAAACCTTCCCGACTCCTCTACCACTCTGAAGCCTTGCTTTTTTAGGCTTGTAGGTCATATTTCATAATGGCTGATTTCACCTGTTTGTGTAATTTCTTTTTAAAAGCCATGCTGAGAGCTCTGGGAAAGACTCAGATGTAATTGCTTTGTAATGAAATGTTGAAAGCTATTTAGAGTCCATTCAGAGCAATTACATTTGTTTAGTTAGAGTGGCTAGAAGCTAGACTTAAACCTATAAATATATTTTGTAAAATATATCTTATTATGTGCTGCATAGTCAAAATATTGCAACTTAAGTGAAGTCTGTTAAACACACACACTGAAATGACATTGTCCTTCTTCTGGAGTTCAACTCAATAAAACTCAGGACATTTTAAACAGTAACATTCAGAGCCCCACCTTTACTATTAACATAATATGACAATATGTTTACTGTCCAGAAAGCAAGAAATTTCTTTCTTTCTTATTAAATGATCTTCTTTTCCTATTCAGGTGACACTTTAAAATCATCAACAGTATTGAGACAGGATAGGACAGTAGAAAACACTGACGGAGAGGTTGGCAGGATAAATATTAGCCCCAACTGCTAGTACAAAATTCTAATGGAGTGGGCAACTTTTTAAGTGTCTTCTTGCCTCACTTTTTTCCCCCCGAAATAGTAATGCCTCCCTTTTTCATTCTCCACACCACAAAGTTTTGAGATAATTAATTTAAATCAACTCATCTGCCAACCAAAAGCACTGGACCAGATAATGCCACTGATCAATTCCAGCTTTAAAATTCTGTGATCACTGACAACATCAGTCCACAAATTTGAATTGAACATCTTGAAATACTCATCTAGCTTCCATTGAAGTAATTATGGAAAGAGATTTTCAAACTAAATGAATATTTATATGGATAAAAATCAAAAGTGTCCTCCCGCTACTTCTTTTTAAATTTGTCCTGTACTCCTAACTACTCTTTAGTTTGACCTTGAGTACCAGAGGGTTCCTCAATCTCAAAATCACAATTGTTCTCATAGCATTTCCAAAAATGATCCAAATGACATATTAATAGTTTCATAGTGATATTTCAGAAATGGTTTTTAAAACATAATCAATCAGCATGGTCTTTTGTGGAATTTCTCTGAGTTCTTTCTGGATAGAGTTCATTTTCTGTTATACATGTTTAAAAATCATGAGAGTAACACATTCTCATACTGTTTCTTTAACCCTTCATTATTTTGGAAGAGGCTTTATTAATTATCATTGCTCAATCCAGGTACACATGATATGATGTGTATGTGGGGGTTGCATGTATGAGCACAAAGGAATGCAGTGTAAGTGCATGTATATGTGTGTGTATATGCTAATGCATGGATACATATGTTGTGTGTGTGTGTGTGATTGTGTGCGTGTGTGTCTGGACAGATAGCATCAATTTAATGATAAGCACAGTCAACCAAGATAGGATAGCTACAATATACCTTACTTAGTATGGAAATAAAGTGAAGAAAAATATTTTTAGTTCATTTTCCTTTAATAAATCATAGATCTTTGCTGCCATTCAGTTGCTTGAGCATGTCAATAAATAGAAGCAAAGCTTCAAAGATGATAACAAAGGCTGAAGAAAACTAGAAGCATCAACTAACATGAAAGCAGCTAATGAAAAAGTTACCAAAAATCATTCTGATTTAACCTGCATCTCCATGTTAATCACAGAAAGAAGAGCGCCTGTAGCATAAATCTGAATTATTTATTTTTATTCTGCAATAGACATATGAAAAAAGTTTTTGAGAATTGTTCTGTTGTTTTAAGTTTTAGATACATACTCATTAAATTTCCCAAGTCAGTGTGGCTTTTCAGTCCACTGATAATTACAGATCATAACGTACCCTGAAGGGATAAGGACCAACTTTTTGTCTTCAATGCTGACATTTTAAATAACAATGTAAATTTTCTTTATGTTCTATTGAACAGTAGGTTACCTTATTCTTGACCAAGTAAATAAAGATTCTTTAAATAAAAGGCACAAGCTTTATAAATTCTACTTTTTAACCTTTACATATTTATGAAATCTATATAACTTCCTCATAATTAGATGCAATTTTGTGAAGTAAAAAATTCTGAAATTTAGATTGTTCTTGTAAAAAAAACAAACCTATCAAAAAGCATCTATGGAAAAATCTGTTATAATAGACTGCACTCAATTTGCTATATTAAAAAGTAATCAAAGGAGGGGGCTGGGGATGTGGCTCAAGCGGTAGCGCGCTCGCCTGGCATGCCTGCGGCCCGGGTTCGATCCTCAGCACCACATACAAACAAAGATGTTGTGTCCGCCGAGAACTAAAAAATAAATATTAAAAAAAATTATCTATATATATCTCTCTCACTCTCTCTTAAAAAAAAAGTAATCAAAGGAATATGAAAATGGAATTTATGGCACAATAAGGCGAATGTCAGAGAGAACTGACTATGGATGCCTGCAACGTCAACATCTTAATGGATCATGTAACATACGGCCTTGTGCTGTACAGCAAATAAAAGATGCCAAGAATTGACAATTAAAACTAATAGGGTATAAAAGTAGGGAATTTAGGAAAAACTAATAATCACAAAATTCAATGATGATACACAGTCTTTACATTCAGAAGAGGGGATACATTCACATGCATTATTATTATTTATATATTATATTATGCATTATTAATAATAAACCTGAACATAAAACATAAAGAAAAAGGAGAAACTTGTGCAATATGCAATAATATGGATGAATATTGAGGTTATAAGAAGCTAATCAGAGAAACATAAATATTACATGATTACTCTTATATTAGGTATTTAAAAATGTCAAGTTCAAAGAATCCCATAACGGAATAGTAGTTTATAGGGACTGGGGGGAAGATAAAATGGGGAGTTGTTAAACATGGAACATACGTTTTAGTCTAGCAAGATGAATATATTCTAGAGATTTGTGAGAGAACTGTAATTGACAATAATGTATTTTGAACTTAAAAATTTGTCA